AACAAAAAGCATAAACTCAGTCAGAAACAATGAAATACTAAATCAGATCTGATGACCTTGTGTTAAATAGGAATAATAACAAAAGCATAAACAGAATCAGCATCAATGAAAAACCAGATCTAAATCCAATCACCCTGTGTTAAATGTCAGTGAGTACAGATGTGTCAGTGAGTACAGATGTGTTTTTAGGAGAGATTTAAAAGCAGAGACTGAGGTGGCCTGTCGAATGTTGATGGGCAGATTGTTCCAGAGTTTAGGGCCCACGACTGAGAACGCTCGATCTCCTCTGAACTTCAGCTGGTTTTTGGTATGGCCAAAAGCATCTGGTCTGATGATCTCAAAGCCCGAGAAGGAGCATAAGGATGAAGAAGGTCAGAGAGGTATGATGGTGCAAGGCCGTTAATGCACTTGAATGTCAGCAAGAGAATTTTAAAATCAACTCTGACACGTACAGGAAGCCAGTGAAGAGAGGACAGAACCGGAGTAATGTGCTCAAACCTGCGAGTTCCTGTTAAAAGCCGAGCTGCAGCATTTTGTACGAGCTGGAGACGTGAAAGTGAAGCCTGACTAACCCCAACATAAAGTGAGTTACAGTAGTCCAGCCGGGTTGTAATAAATGCATGGACTAGTTTTTCAAGGTCGGATCTGGACAGAACGGACTTAAGCTTTGCTATCTGCCTTAACTGAAAGAAGCTTTTTTGTAGAACAGAGTTGATATGTTTATTAAACTTAAAGTCTGAGTCTAAAACTACCCCGAGATTGGTAACTGACTGCTTTAGATGAGGCTGAAGGGAGTGCAGGTTTACAGGATCAGTGACAGTGGTAGAGCTTGGGTTAAACACAATGACCTCAGTCTTCTGATCATTAAAGCTCAAGAAGTTTGCAGCCATCCAAGTCTTGATGTCATCAAGACATTTTAGCAAAGGGACAATGTGTTGTCATAGCTGTTCGACAACACACGCGCTGCACATGTGAACCTCGTCTGTGGGCGTCACCAGCACCATAGACATACAGTGCCTTGCGAAAGTATTCGGCCCCCTTGAACTTTTCAACCTTTTGCCACATTTCAGGCTTCAAACATAAAGATGTAAAATTTAAATTTTTTGTGAAGAATCAACAACAAGTGGGACACAATCGTGAAGTGGAATGAAATGTATTGGCTGTGTCAAACTTTTTTAACAAATAAAAAAATGACAAGTGGGGCGAAGTGGGGCATTCAATATTATTCGGCCCCTTGCGTCAATACCTTGTAGCGCCGCCTTTTGCTGCAGTTCCAGCTGCAAGTCTCTTGGGGTATGTCTCTATCAGTTTTGCACATAGAGACTGAAATTCTTGCCCATTCTTCCTGCAAAACAGCTCGAGCTCAGTGAGGTTGGATGGAGAGCGTTTGTGAACAGCAGTCTTCAGGTCTTTCCACAGATTCTCGATTGGATTCAGGTCTGGACTTTGACTTGGCCATTCCAACACCTGGATACGTTTATTTGTGAACCATTCCATTGTAGATGTGGCTTTATGTTTTGGATCATTGTCTTGTTGGAAGATAAATCTCCGTCCCAGTCTCAGGTCTCTTGCAGACTCAAACAGGTTTTCTTCCAGAATGGTCCTGTATTTGGCCCCATCCATCTTTCCATCAATTCTGACCATCTTCCCTGTCCCTGCTGACGAAAAGCAGGCCCAAACCATGATGCTGCCACCACCATGTTTGACAGTGGGGATGGTGTGTTCAGGGTGATGAGCTGTGTTGTTTTTACGCCAAACATATAGTTTTGCATTGTGTCCAGACAGTTGGATTTTGTTTCATGTGACCAGAGCACCTTCTTCCACATGATGGTGTGTCTCCCAGGTGCTTGTGGCAAACTTTAAACAACACTTTTTATGGATATCTTTGAGAAATGGCTTTCTTCTTGCCACTCTTCCATAAAGGCCAGATTTGTGCAGTGTACGACTGATTGTTGTCCTATGGACAGACTCTCCCACCTCAGCTGTAGATCTCTGCAGTTCATCCAGAGTGATCATGGGCCTCTTGGCTGCATCTCTGATCAGTCTTCTCCTTGTTCCAGATGAAAGTTTAGAGGGACGTCCGGGTCTTGGTAGATTTGCAGTGGTCTCATACTCCTTCCATTTCAATATGATTGCTTGCACAGTGCTCCTTGGGATGTTTATAGCTTGGGAAATCTTTTTGTATCCAAATCCGGCTTTAAACTTCTCCACAACAGTATCTCGGACCTGCCTGGTGTGGTCCTTGGTCTTCATGATGCTCTCTGCTCTTTGAACAGAACCCTGAGACTATCACAGAGCAGGTGCATTTATACAGAGACTTGATTACACACAGGTGGATTCTATTTATCATCATCAGTCATTTGGGACAACATTGGATCATTCATAGATCCTCACTGAACTTCTGGAGTGAGTTTGCTGCACTGAAAGTAAAGGGGCCCAATAATATTGCACGTCCCACTTTTCAGTTTTCTATTTGTTAAAAAAGTTTGACACATCCAATAAATTTCATTCCACTTCACGATTGTGTCCCACTTGTTGTTGATTCTTCACAAAAAATTAAAATTTTATATCTTTACGTTTGAAACCTGAAATGTGGCAAAGGTGTTACGATTGCACGGGGAACCCAGATGTTAAGAGACCCAGAACGAGGCAGACACAGGGGAAATACAAAAGAACAGTGTTTATTATTTACAGTGCACAAATTAAAGTCCACACGCTGCTTCTCAGCGGCTCCTGGAAAGAGGGGCGAGAGGTTATTGTTTGTCCAACGGGGAAGACCAGAGTGGTAGATTTAAAGAGCGTCTTGTCCTTACAGTCCAACCCCAAGGAGAATGAGCTGGTCCTTCAGTCCAAGGAGTGAGCAGCAGAAGGGAATCCAACAGGGGTCCAAGAGGAAACGAGGAAGGCTGGCAACTGGAGGCAAAGAGACACGAGGGACACCTGACAGGCAGAGGGATCCAGGTCAGGCCACGAGGAGAATCCAAAACACGAAGGAACCAGAAAACTGAAAAAAAGAGCAGAAGGTGAACAAATTCTTTTCACCTAAACATTTCTACCTCAACAGTACTGTACCATGAGAGGTGATATGCTCCAGCGTTGAATCACACCGGGCTGCAGCCTTAAGTAGATGGAGTCAAGTCAAGTCAAGTCAGATTTATTTATAGAGCACATTTAAAACAGAAACTGTTACCAAAGTGCTTAACAAAAATATCACAACATCAGATAAAAAGTAGCAAGATATATTTACAGCACATGGAATAAAAATATAAAACCAAAAAAATTAGAAACAATGAAATACTAAATCAGATCACGTTGTGTCAAAAGTCAAGGAAATAATAACAAAAAGCATAAACTCAGTCAGAAACAATGAAATACTAAATCAGATC